TCTCTCACCCTCCTGCGCTTCTGACTGTACCCAGTGCATGTATAAACAAAACAAACAAACAAAAAAATAAATAAATAACATGCCTCTATAAAAAAAAAAAATAAATAAAAAAAAATAAAAAAAAAATAAAAAAAAAGAACCTAGATTTAAATACATACTGCATGCTCTATTTAAATACAACTCAAAAATAGGGAAAATTAATTTATGTTTTTGGAAGTCAAGATATCTTTGAGGAGCAAGATATCTTTGAGGAGCAAGAGAAGGTACTAAGGAGGTGAGAAAGTAGAGTTAAGGGGTACTGAAGCTGTTTTATTTCTTGACCTGAGCAATGGTTACATAGCTATGTCCATTTTATAACAATTGAGCTATGACTTATGACATTTATAACATGCATTTTTCTACATATCTATTATATTTCAATGAAAATATTTATTTAAAAATAATATTCTGTGGCTATACTGAAATTTTGTTTTATATTATTAATTAGATTATCATTTAGAATTTAGGAATATTTTGTTAAATTTATTTATTTTTTAAAGAGGATTTTATCCTTAACATTACTTTTATCTTTCTTAAAATTCACAAAATTAGAGAACAGAGAACAAATTTAGAGATGAAAGAAACAGAATAAGCTAGCTTGACTCTGAGAGCAGTTAAATGAAACGAAAATTCACAATTTCCATAATACATTGCAGGACCTTTAAAGTTTTTAGCTACAGTTAGACTCCATTAGAGAAACTTGGTTGCCTCTACAATATGAATAGTTTATAATACTTAAACAATAAAAACTACAAGTCACTGAATGTTAGTCAATCATTCTATTTCTATTAGAATAGAATAGAATCATTCTATTTCTATTACAATAAATGACTAAATCGTAAAACAAGGGAAGAAAGTCGTAACTGGATACTTGGTGAGATACTTTATAAGAATTGGCAATCCATGTCTTGTAGTGTGTAAACATGTTTTAAAAAATTATTTTTATGAAGGCATATAGAATATTTTTGTGTTGAACCAATACTATATTAAAAACAGTAGTCTCAGTGCACATTACCTCTTTCTCTTTTACTTTTTGCAACTTATTTGTAAACAAGTTTAGGGACAGCAAATTCAAGTTATTAATTCCTCCTGGAAATGCACCTACATTTGAGCTACTAGCATTTTACAAGATTCAAGGGTATAACCACTTATTCTATTTGTATCCTTCAGACTTTCAAATATGGCAATTCTTCCTCTTTGTCCTATTAAAAGAAAAGAAAGAAGACAAAGATGCTGTTCTTCTGGCTCAGAAATTTAAAATAAGCTATGGTAACATCCTTTATGTCTGATCTTTTCCTGTTTAATTTTTTTTTAACTATTTTGTTTTGGGGGAGGAAGATGAAGGGAGTTCTAAGAAAAGCTTTCATAACAGGTTCAAAAGTATAAAAGCCATTTCAAGCTCTAGACATTTGTAGCCTTTATTTCTTTAGTCCTTGAAAGGGCTTTTTAAATGTTAACAGCTAGGATAGGACTGCTTTCCTACACTGAATTCCAGACTTCATTTCCTTTGTAGTCTTGGGTACTTCCCCGCCCTCAATCCCCCAATAACCTCCATGCCAGCTTCTTTTTCAAAACAAAACAAACATCAACAATAAAAGTATTTCATTCATCACAGTGTCTGTACAGGCAGAATTGTAAGATTCAATACAGAGTAGCCACCTCTTGTAATTTAGAGAATTCAAACAATTTTTGCTTTAATTATGTTCAAAACAAGGCAAAAGGCCCAAAATGGAGTCACTTATGCTAAGTGCCAAGTCACTAAAACAAGACTTAATTATAGTTTTGGCCTTTCTCAGAAATGGAATCTTAAATTAGTCAATCAGGAATCACTTGGTCAGCACTAATGAAATAATATGCCTGACAGATGAAATAATATGCCTGACGGATCCCTGCTATCCCCTAAAGTAAAGTGACCTTACCACACCACTCCAAGTTTTCTTAGTATAACTTGTCTATAAAAATGATTTTGCACAGGGCCTTCCTGGTGGCGCAAGGAGTTAAGCACCGCACTATGAAGCTATCCACAGCCTCTGCAATACCATGTTCCATCCCTGACCAGCCAGGGAGAAACCCACATGGCTGGCGCAGCAGACCTCTGCTGTTGCCCGCTTCTCCCCTCAGCAGTATTTCACTCAGTCTGCCTGTTCTGTTCCCCACTCTGTCTCTGGTGAGTCCTCTCACCCCCTGCATCTCTGGCTTGTACCCCAGCTCTTGTATGCATAAATAAATGTCTTTTTAAAAAATGATTTTGTACAGCTACTCAGAGCTCCTTTCCGTCCACTAGATGGGATGCTGTAAAAGTTGAATAAAACCAGTAAGATCTTTAAAATATATTCAGTTGAAATTAGTTTTTCAAAAATTTCTTCTGTATTTGGTGATTTCCTTTGCCTATTTAACATGCTTTCATTTTTAAAATGGCCTACCACCTGCAAGTTTTTAGAGCTAAAATAGTCAAGAAGCATTGTTAGCTCCCTCTCTCTAAAAATGCTGGAATACAATTTTCAAAAAATACACATCTAGATGGTGATCATTTGTGTATCTTAAATCCTTAAAAATTAGACCTAATATTGGATATAGTATTATTCTACCTTAGAAAAGAAACATATAAATAAAAAAAATAAGTCTAAATCACGGTATTCCAAGGTCTTACCAGTGATTATTGTTTCTGGATGGTGATATTATAAATGTTTCACTTTAAATTTTTTTCTTGCTTATAAAGTATTTTATCTTAAGTGTACATGCATTTTTGTGATAAAGGAAAATACTATTTGATTTTTAAAATAAGTACTATTTTATTACTTTTCAGCACATCATATGGGTAGTTCTTAAACATACATATAGATACTGATACTTGTATATATGTAGAAAAAATCTAAAGTATATTTTTTAATATTTTACTCTCTTCACATATATTCTTGCTTAATAAAAGTATTTTTTTATCCCCTTTGATCCGTTCCTCTCCCTTCTTAACTACAGAAACCTCACTTCATGTACTAATGTTCACAGTTTTCATAAATAGTTTTGTCAAAGTATATGCTGTGTAAACATCAGCACTTGTCTTTGTCATTCTGACTTGCTTTACTACACATATTTCCCCTTGAACTCCTTTCATTTTATTCTATCTGAAACATCACTTTAGATAGAATATTCATTTTGATCATATTGCTTCTCACCATCTATGAATAAGGAATGACATTTCATCTCCTTATGTCACAATCTAAATTCTTTAATAACATGGCAAATTCTTTAATAACATGGCAACATTTCATCTTTATTTATAGTGGAATTGTATGCTGAAGTGTAGATATACCACATCTTCTTGATGCAATTTTCTATAGATAAGCATTCAGGTTGCCTCCATGTCTTAGCTATTATAAATAGTGCTGCAGCAAACATCGTACAGTAGTTTTTTTTAAAAAAAGATTTATTTATTTATGCATACAAGAGCTGGGGTATAGGCCAGAGATGCAGGGGGTGAGAGGATTCACTAGGGACAGAGTGGGGAACAGAATAGGCAGACTGAGTGAAATACACTGCTGAGGGGAGCAGAGGGCAAGACAAGAGAGGTATGCAGCACCATGTGGGTTGCTCCCTGGCTGGGGATCGAACTCGTGCTGCAGTGGCTGTGGATTTCTTCATAGTGTGGAGCTTAACCCCTTGCGCTACCAGGGAGGCCCAGTATATAGTTTTTTTGAGTTGGTTTCACGTTCTTCGAATAGACGCCCAAGAATGAGCTTCCTAGATTATGTGGTATTTCCATTTTTAGGGGTTTTTTTTATGGTAAACCCAAGTCACTTTCCAAAATGGCTTAAGTTTACATTTCCACCAACAAGGTAGTAGAGCTCCTCTTTCTGTGCATCCTCTCTAGCACTTGCTGAAGATCTTTTTTGGGGGTTGAGGGAAGCATCCTCACACTTTTGTTTATTTCAAAAGTATACTGATGTTTTGTGCAGGGATACAAATTAGCAATTCATTGGAGGTTTCTTCTGTGGTTGCTGTCTTTTTCTTACTGAATTTTATTATTTACTAAAATATTCTATTTCCCCTTTGCACACTTCCCATCCATTCAGTAGATTGTCTTTTTTAATCTACTTATATTTTGCTTGGCTATATAAGAGCTTTTAAATTTGAGGTCATCCCAATTGTTTATTTTAGTTTTTATTTTCTTAAACATAGTGGTTGAGTCTCCAAAAATATCTTTATCATTGATGTCATGGAATATATATCCAATGTTTTCTGATACCTATTTTAACATTGTAGATGTTATATCTAAATCTTTAATTCATTTGGTATTTACTTTTGTGCATGAAATTAGAGAGCAATCAAACTTCATTCTTTTACATATGGGGCCTGCCAGATTTACCAGCACTATTTGCTAGAAAATCTCCTTTACCCATTTGGTTGTGGCTGCTGTGCCATACATTAAGTATTGACATCTATGTGGATTTATTGCCAGGCTTTCAATTCTGTTTCATTGATTTGTGTATCTATTTTTTATTCCAATACTATATTGTTTTAATTACTGCTGCATTTTAGTATAGCTTAAAATCAGGTAATGTGATGCCTCCATTTCTCTTCCTTTCCCTAAGATTTTCTTTTGTTTTCAAGGCTTTCTTATGGTTCCATACAAATTTCAATATTTTCTCTTCAAATTTTTTTTTAAGATTTATTTATTTATTTATTTATTTATTTATTTATTTATTTATTTATTTATTTATTTATACAAGCACTGGGTACAGTCAGAAGCGTGGGAGGTTGAGAGATTTCACCAGAGCCAGAGCGGGGAGCAGAACAGACTGATGAAATACAGTGCTGAGGGGAGCAGTGGGCATGGCAGAAGGGGTCTGTCGCGCCATGTGGGACCCTCGCCCTGTGGCCAGAGATTGAACCAGTGCTGCAGAGGCTGCGGGCAGCTTCACAGCCCAGCGCTCAACCGCTGCACCACCAGGGGAGGCCCTCTCTTCAATTTCTTTAAAGAATATTGTTGGTAATTTGATGAGGTTTGTGTTAACTTTATATATTACTTTTGTCTTTTTTTTCTGACCCCCATATTCCTCCTATAAGTGAAGCCATTCAAAATTTTTCCTTTTTCTTCTGATTTATTTCACTGAGCATAATCTTTTCTATCTCCATCCATGTTGCTGTGAATTACATGAGTTTATCTTTTTTGATTGTTGAGTAGTATTCCATTGTGTACATATACCACATCTTCTTGATCCAGTCATCTGTTTTTTGAGATTTTTATGGGGATTACACCTGAAGGGAGAAATCAAACATCATACAAAAATGAACAATGATGTAAAAAATAAAAATAAAAATATTCAAAAATTTTAAAAGACATTAGATAGAATATTCATTTTGATCATATTGATTCTCACCATCTATGAATAAGGAATGCCATTTCATCTCCTTATGTCACAATCAAAATTCTTTAATAACATATTATAGTTCTCATTATATTGGTCCTTCACCTCATTGGTTAGGTTAATTTTGAGGTATTTAATTATTTTTAAGTAATGGTGAATGGAATTACTTTCTTAATTTCTTTTTTCATTTGGTGTTTGTATATGAAAATGCAACAGATTTTCTTATGTTGATTTTTGTAAACTGACACTTTGCTGTATTCATGTATTATTTCTAATAGATTTTTGGAGTCTTTAAGGTTTCTATATATAACATTGTATTACATGTGTATAGTGATAATTTCACTTCTTTTCCAAACTGGATTCTTTTGCTTTTCTCTGAGTGCTCTAACTAAAATTTCAAATACTAAATGAAATAAAAAAAGGTAACAGTGGTCATCCTTGTGTTTTCCTAATCTTAAAGGGAAAGCTTTCAGCTTTTCACCATTATGTATTATATTGGCTGTAGGTTTGTGACATATACACTTTACTATGTTGAAGTTGATTCCTTCTATTCCCATCTTGTTTAGAACAGGTTTTATCATAGATGCTACATCTTATCAAATGCTTTCTCTGCATCTCTCGATAGTATCATATGATATTTATCTTTACTTTTGTTGATGTAATGTATTACACTGATTGGTTTATATATATATTAAAACAGAGTTGCATCCCTGGGATAAAATCCCACTTATCATGATGTATAATCCTTGTGATGTATTATTGAATTCAATTTGTTAGTATTTTGTTGAAGAGTTTTGCATGAGTGTTCATCTGTGATATTGGTCTGTAATATTCTTTTCTTGTGCTCTATTACTTGGTTTCAGTGTTAAGGTAATGTTGGCATCATAAAATATATTAGGGAAGTGTTCCCTCTTAGTGGATTTTTAGAAATAACTTGAGTACTGGGCATGCATTCTTCTTTAAAGGTCTGATAGAATTTGCTTGTAAAGTTATCTGGCCTCCTAGCTTTTGTTTTGGGGCAAACTTTTTATTGCTGTCTCAATTCTCATGCTTGTGATCAGTTCATTTAACTCTTTTTTCCTGGTGTAGTCTTGGTAAAAAGTTTAGCCAACTCTTAGTTTCGTTGATCTCTTGTATCTTTTTAATGTCTATTTCATTTGCTTCTGCTTGTTTTTACTATTTCCCTGCTTCCACTAACTTTAAGTTATATTTGTTCCTCTTTTCCAAATTGCTTTAGGTGTAATGTTAAGTTGTTTGAGATATTTCTTGCTTTTTAATGTGGGCCTCTATTGCAATTATCTGCCCTCCTAAGACTGCTTTTGCTGCATCCCCTACATTCTTGTAGCTTGTATCATCACTTTCATTAGTCTTGAGGTATATTTTGATGTTTTAATTTCCTCTTTATCTGATAACTATTAAGCAGCATATTGTTTATTGCATGTATCTATGGGTTTTCCTGTTTCTGTTCTCTTTATAGTTGATTTCTCACTTCATGGCAATGTGTCAGAAAGAGTACTTGGTATGATTTCAATATTCACAGTTTTATTGACAATTAACTTGTGTCCCACCATATAGCCTATTCTTGAAAATATTCTATTTGCACTTGAAAAAAGTTGTGTTTGCAGCAATTTTGGGGAGGAATGTTCTGTAGATGTCTATTAAGTCTATTTGATTTTATTCCTCTTTTAAGGCTATTGTTTCCTTCTATCTTTTCGATCTATTCCTAGTTGCAAGTTGAGTTTTTAAATCCCTTAGTATTATTGTGTTGTTGTTAACATCTCTCTTTAGTACTATTATTAGTTTTCTTATATATCTTGGTGCTCCACTATTTAGTGCATATATATTTATGACTGTTACTAGTATTATGTCTTCTTGTTGTATTAATCATAATGTAGTGGCCGTATCTGTCACTTATTGCCTTTCTTTAATAAGAAGTCTTTTTCAGCTGATATAAGTAGTTTTTCCTGACTTCCTTTTGCCATTTGATTGTAGAATTGTCTTTCAGTTTTTAAGCTTGTGCTTAACTTTATTGATAAGGCTCCAGTAAACAACAGAAGACTGGACTCTGTATTAAAATCTATTCAGCCACTCCAAACCATTTAACTAGTGAATTCAAACCATTTACATTTCAGTCATTAATAACACATAAGTGCTCACTGCCACTTTATTTTTCAGTTTTGCTTTTGCAGTTTTCTTTGTCTTTTTATTTTTTGACATGTACTCTCCCTGCATCCCAACTCCTGTTGTTCTCCAATAGTGCATCCTCTGTCCTGAACACCAATTCTGTGCACCCCCTTAAGCAGTAGAGTGCTGAGTCTTCAAAGTTCCAAATAACAGCACATATCTGGTAGAAATTATATAGCTTAATATGTGCAAAACAGTGAAGATAGAAACGGGGTATGGGTAAGTATTACCTATGTGTTTGTCAAATTAGTGGTGCTAAAAATTTAGTCCTCAGATTAGCAGCAATATCTGGAAACTTCACAAATGTAAATTTTCTGACCCATCACAGTCTTAATGAATCAGAATCTCTGTGGTAGGGACCAACAATACAAACTCTAACAAAAAGTCTTTCAGGCAATTCTAATGCAAACTAAAGTTTAAAAACCATCTGCGCAAATTAGTAAGATTTTCTTTCTTAATCTCAGATTCACATAAACAAAAACATTAGTATACTCAGTGTTTTGCATACCTCATCTTTAGTCACAAAACTACTGAAAAAATATTTGATTTCAAAACTGAAATCTGGTAACTTCACATCCACTTGGATAATTATAATAAAATAGATGATGAGAAGTGTTATGGAGAATAACAAGTGATCTGGAGAAATTAGAGCCTTCATACACAGTTGGTAAGAATGTAAAATGGTATAGTCATTTTGGAAGAGTCCACAGTTCCCCAGAAAGTTAATCATAAAGTAACCATTGACCCAGAAATTCCATACATTGCCATACACCCATAAGAACTAAAATCATGTTCACACAAAAATTTATACACAGATGCTCATACCGCATTATTCATAATAGCCAAGATGTAGAAACAATCCAAATGCCTATCAAATGATGAATAAACAAAATGTGGTATATCCATACAATGGAATCTTATTCTGCCATAAAAAGGAATAAAGTTCAAATACATGCTGCATGAGTGAAACTTGAAAAAAACTGTTAAGTGAAAGACCACATAATGTCTTATATAAAACACTTATATAAAATGGTTATATAAAATGGTTAGGATACTCAAATCAAAATGTAGGTTGCCTACAGTTGGGTAAAGTAAGAGGAAATAGAGAGTGATTGCCAATGAATAAATAATTTTGGGGGTGATAAGAATGTTATAAAATTATTGTGGTAATGGTTATAATGCTTAGAATCGTATAGTCAATTCTGTGACTATACAAAAAATTCAATTATGTACTTTAAAAAGATTAAATATGTGGTATGTGAATTATATTCAATAAAACTATTATTTAAAAACCCTAATTTGGTACCAATAATATGTCCAGATAGTACTGAGGAAAAATATAATATAAAAATTGATACAACAATAATAATATGTATCTAAACCCTGAAAGTGAGGGAGAGAAAAACAGGGCAAAAGTAAAAGTGCTGAAGTCTTCAAATATATGGGGCATCAAAAGACACTGAAATAATGTTTTACTCTTCATTACAGTAAAAACTAACATATAACCATGAATAGCATTAAAAACAAAGTGGATATTCTCCAAAATACTAGAAAAAAGAAACCGAAGAAATTAAACTTAGATGTTAATTGGGACTACTGCATAACTATGATATTATGAGTGATTTTTACTTCCTCTTTATACTTTATTCTCTACATTTCCTAATTGGGTTTGCTTTTTTGTGTGTGAAACTGCTGATCTTTGTGACTGACTTCTTTTTAATGCAATTTTATTTTTGTTTTTATTTATGGCTATTTTTTAAATAAGTTAATATATTAAGGTAATTTAAAATTAAAAATATACAAAAAACATAGTGAAAAATCTCCCTTCTTTTCAGGAAGACCATCAGCTTTCCTGCAACCACTTCAGAACCAAAATATTATTGATTTGTGGGGTAAGTTTGTAGAAATATTTTATATACATAAACTGATTCTTTTCCATCTTTTTAATTAAAAAATAGTTTAATGTATACACTGTTCTCTACCTTGCTTCTTTAACTTAACAATGTATCCGTCCCATATCAGTAGCTATAGTTTCTTTTTAATGGCCAAATGGTATTTCATTGCATGGATTTATCATAATTTATTTAACCAGTCCATACTGACATATTACTTTTCTAATTGAAAAGAAAACAAAGCAATTTTGGAGGAAAAAACTAAAATATTTCTCATTCAAATCCCCTCACCCCAAAACGGATATCATCCATTGATTTAAATTCCTAAGTTCCCTGACAATATCTAGAGTATCACTGCTATACATATATATATATAAACTTTATAACCAGATTAAAAGATACGTATCAACAACTTTATTGAAATAATTTCAGAATTATAAAAGCACTTAGCAAAGTGTATGATACTTGATTGATAATAAAAAGTGTTGCAATTATGGTTTCTGGAATTATTTTTAAGTATCAAGTCTCAGGTAAAAGCAGATTGTGTGTATGTGCGTGTGTATGTATGTAGGTGTGTGTAATTCATCAGGTTTTATTTCTTCTTTATGTTTAACTATGCTCAGCTATGACTAACCTTGGTTAAGGGAACATTAATGTAAGCACTTAAGAAACTTATGAATGTCTACTCAATGCTAAGCATTGGGTATGTAAAAAATGAGGCTGGCAGGGCCTCTACCTCAAGAAAGTATCTCTGAGTTCTATTAGTCAGAATCTTCTCTCCTTGTCTTTCACTGTTGAAAGACAGACATTTGAATTTCATGGACTTACAAGAGAAAACACTCTGTGATATTACATAATTTCATACTTTCTGTATTAATTCAGAAAAAAATAACTAACTTGTGATAAACATTCTGTTAGATAATGCTGAAATAAAAACTGAAGATAGAACAGTCCTAATTCTGCAGAAGGTTTTTCAGAGTTCCACCTGGTGTAGAATATCTTGTTTTTTTATAAAACAAGTAAGAGCATTACCAAATTTCTGTGTCATATATGCACCTTTATCACACCACATAACTTAATCCTTACCTATAATCTTCTGTATCTGAAACGGAATAAAATCTCATAAAATTATGTGGTCTCTAACATCTCATATGTTTTCCGTTAACTTGAAGAATTAGCCTTCCAGATTGCAACAATCCTGGTAGAGAAATAAAAGACATGTTCACTCATTAAATTTTTCTGAACTTTCACCAATTAGTGAAGTTAGAATGAGTTAGTAACTAATAACCTCATTGATAGTCCTTTCTAACCTGCAGTCTAAATTACCTATTCAGCCATTCCATTTTTTATTGGTAATAAAGTTAAGAGTTCTAAATTAAAGATATTATAGTCTGTGAAACCTTTTGGAGGTAAACTGTAGTCCATCCTAAAACATTCTCTTACTTATCTTATACTTCCATTGATCGTGTATTTATAGAACTTTTATACCATCACAGAGGTATTAAGCAAATATTTTAATTCATGGTAACAAGCAAGCAACCACTTCCAAAAAACCACTTTTATCCTGATTTTACCCTTCCCCTTTTTTTATTATTTATTCTTACCATGTAACTAATAGGTCGAAGTGCCCTTTGTTGGTTATGAAATATGATTCTAGCGGAGATTTCTTTCTCAAGTTATACTAATTAGTACAGTTATTCTGTTGTCCAAAATAAAGGACAATTTGAATATACGACTGCATAAACTAAAGAATTGTCTTTCACTAGTTCTGTAAATGGTTCAGTGATTCTCTGAATTCTAGGAAAGCAATACTATTTTTACACATGTAGTCAAATTAGATTAATTGGGGAGTTCAGATGCTAATTAAGCTGTTTTAGTTTACTGTCATACCACTTACCAAATGTTTGCTTTAAGAAAATCAAATTTTTTTTCACAATCAGAAAGTGAGGAAACATCTCAGAACTAGAGGTGACAGTTGCAGAACACAGTGAATGTACTAGACACCACTTTAACAGTTAATTGTTAAGTGAATTTCACCACAAATACTTTAGAAAACGGGAAAAATAAAGGGCTTTCTGGCAGACAGTCTTCATTTTGTGAAGGCCTCCAAAGTACAATGCCTCCACCACCAACGAGGTGGGAGAGGGTCACTCCCATTTCACACAAAGCCTTGTGAAAAGCTTACTGAATTCTCTAAGGTAGATCCTAGTTTCAACATAGCTAATTATCGGGCACTTAACACCATATTGAACTCATTTCCGTGAGTCTAAGAAAGCAGCAAAATACTCATCAGAATCTTACAAGAAACCTGAGCCGCTGGCCATCCAGAAATTCCCTACGAGCCATAGGAAACCCAATAGGGTTGGGAAAGTAGAAGCCATATTTTTGAAAGGGTTTTGTCTTGGGAAGAGGGTGTGAGGGTCCACTAAGCCTCAAACATTACACTCAACCCTAGGTGCTTAACTACGACGGATGCACATATCCATGGGGCCGCGTCTCACACTGAAATGCGAAAACCCAGTCTAAGCCTCTTTCTGTGGCGACAATGCTTTATGCCAACGCTCAACGCCATACCCACCCGCAGAAAAGCTTCACCCGCCGAGGAGGGCGGAGTCTCAGAGGGCACTCCCGCCACACAATGCGCGTTGCGCCGCTAGGCTTCATGGGAGTTGTAGTTTTAGTCCACACAGCCACCTCTTCTTCAGGCCTGTCTAGAGTGAGCCAGAAAACTACAACCCCCAGAGTGCTCTCAGGTGACGAGCGGCCGCGGCGGTGACGACTGTGGCGGAGAAGGTCCGGAGGAGCTCTGCGTTCTGGAGTGGCGCTGCTTGGGCCGGTGGTAGATTGCAGGCTGCTGGCGCCGGGGCTGAGGAGAACGGGGAGAGGGTTCGGCATTTCCCGTCGGGATCCCCGCGACGATGAGTGCTGCCAGGGAGTCCCACCCGCACGGGGTGAAGCGTTCAGCCTCCCCAGACGACGATGTAAATAACAATGGCGGGGAGGGCGAGGGTTGAGGCCTACTGAATGTTGGGGTAGGCCGGGAAGGGTGGATCAAGACGGAGGGCGCGCCCGAGGCCGCTTGGGGCAGGGACGAGGGGGTGAAACCACAAGTAAGGGAATTGCCTCTCTTCTGTGAGGGGCGAATGGTTTGGTGATGCCCACCCGCTAGGAGCCAGAGACGTGCGTAGCGAGAGGGGGGTCGAGGAAGGAAATCCAGGGCAGGGCGAGCAGTGAAGAGCTTAGTCAAAGGATCCTCCTGCCTGTTTGCGGGCCGTTGAAGCTGCTTTGTGGGGCCTTTGCAGTCAGTATAGGGTCGGCGAGACCCTCCCTGTTATAGGTTTAAATTGCTCCTGTGACAATGTCAAGAGGTTCGTGCGAATTCGAACAAAATTTCCGGCAGGCCCTGATTTTTGCAATTTGCTGCTAAGAGTTAAATTAACTTTAAGCTGTACTGTTAGACTAAACCAAGAACGGTATGGAACCGAAAAACTGCATCCGGGGGTCAGTTGTTACTGACGCATGGTGGTGAGATTGAAGACGTTGAGACCTAGAAGCTCGTTTTAAATGTCGAGTACCTTTCTTGACTCTCCTCCCCCATCCCTCCAAGCTTGCTTGAAGAGCAGACCATTTCTTCTTTAAAGTAATTCGTTAAGTATTTATCGCCCTGCCAGTTGTTTGGCATTCAAAGATGATTAATTAGGGTGCTTAGGCCATTTTGTATTTTTGTCCTAGCTCCTAGCGCAGTGTCCTGGAGACTGCAGTAACCAGTAAACTTAAAACTGCGTCCTTCATACAATGGATAAATGCCATGGGGGCGCTGGTGGGGTAGTTTTGGGAGGGGGGCATGGAGAGCTTTTATTTTAAGGATGATGAAGGATAGTAGCTAGTTTTCTTTCCGTTATCGTTTTAAGCACTATCAGTTTTTGAGTGTGTACTCTTTATCGTGCAGTCCAGTGGTTTTCATGTCTTACTCTATGAACCGTAAAAGGCTCAACTGAGTACCACTAGTCCATCAGTTGTAATACATGAGACGGTGTTAAGAGCCATCTGTATGGGTGGGTGATGGATTTTTTTTACCGGAATAGCCAGGCTCATCAGGGAAATTGATTTTAGGAAATTAATCGTTCTGCAGAAAGATTAATGATCACTAAAAATTTGGGGATGAATGGTTATGAAGTGAGATCTGTTCATGCTCTCTGTTTCTCCCTACCGCTCACTAACTGTTACTTTTTTTTTTCTTGTTACTATGGTGATCCAGTACTTGTTAGGAGTTTTATCTAGGATTTTGAATAACCTGGGTGCCGTTTTCAAAGCAAATGCATTGTTTTCCTGCTGGCATTTAAGGGTGACCTGATTGCTTGAATGAAGAGAAGTCTTTTAGTTTGAGAGAAAACCCTTGGTGATATTAGATAATTTAACGGAAAGTTAAAGGGTTTTAAGTGATTCTCTGCAGCTTCTGATGGTATCAATTTAAACTGTATGACCTTTAAGACCTTTTCCAATCCTATAAGCTTCTCTTTGAAGGAGATGGTTATAGTTGCTATTCAGGATTAGTGCCTTGACCTTCACACACCATCTAAAAATGATTATATTGCTAATTTTATATTCTCACCTGTGCCTTGATAATGATTTTTTTTTTTTTGAGTCGTTTTGTTCATAGGAATTTTTTTAAAATTTTGCTCACAGTTGAAAGCTATCTTTGAGTACTTGCTTTTCAAAATTAAAATGTATTTTTTAAATGTACATTGTGGCTGCAGAAAATCAGCTAATTATAGTATGGAGTTGGTAACAATAGGTGACTGTTGTTAAGTTTCTAATGAACATCCACTGCTTGTAAAGTATTTACCCACTGACCTCATGTTAAATGAGGGTAACAAAACATTTTAAAAGATCATAAAGTGCTGAGGATGAAGACAATTTTAAAATGGTTTCTCTAATTAGGTTGGAGGGGAGAAGTGAAAGCTATCTTTTAGGGGAGTAAGAGAATTGGAAAAGTTACGTAGTAACTGATAGACAATCTGTCACCCTTGTATGTGCTTTTCAGAATGCACTGCTTGGGCAAGGAACTAGGCGTTGTATAGTAAGGTCTCTAGAAAGGAAGAACCAAAAGGACTTAATGATTTTAAAAAATCTGGATTAGAAGTTATGAACAACAGGGTTATTTACATAAAGGCATTGAAGATATTTGCTCCTTCAATAGAGGGCTTAGTGAAGCTTTGACTTTTAGGCATTTGATTTGTTTGTAACTTAATGCTGTACATTTTTATAACTGTAGTTCATAAATTACTGTCACACATTCTATCTCATTTGATCATGTACAGTATGATGTGGAAGGAGCAGAGGACTAAAGGCCAGGAATCAAAGCAAGTCACTTAACCTCTTTGCCTCATTGTCCTTATTTATTAGAGACTTTTCAGACAATGTAAGTGAAAAATGATTTGTAAACTTTAAAAGACTATTCAATTCTTAGCTGGTGTTATTCAAAAGACAGTCTTAATGAAGCCTTGCTCTGTAGATAAGGAATTAAAACTAAGAAGTTAAATTCCATGCTCAGGCTCACAGAAAGCAAGTGATTGAGAATCATAACTTACACTTTACTAGTGCTTTTTTTAAAAAACTATATTGAGCCAATTAAGAATTAACTGGTCTATAAAAAGATATTACAAGATGAGTTGTCTCATGGAAAGAAGAAGTAGAGGTTGGGAACTTACATAACCCAAACCATGAGAGCATATAAGCTCCCCACCAACATTATTTAAAAGAACAATAAATAGGTGTCCTGTGTGGTACAAATAATTTAACCTTCATTTCCGTAGGAGAAATGGTCATCATTGTTTCTTTTATATTCTTAGTCTTTTATGAAGAATTTTCAGAAGTAAAAGTAAAATAAAGTGAAAAATTTTATTAAAATTCTAATGTGTTTAACCATAGCAAACCCAAATATGTATTCCACATTTTCCTGATTTTCAGGATATGCATCTGAAAATAGCTGCTTATCACTTGCCATTTGTGAAACTAGAATATTTAATTTCGGATATCAGATATATTTCTACTTGTTATATTTGTATAATGAAAATATAATAGTTGAAGAAAAAAAATCATTTTTTGAAATCTTTGCTCATTCTGACTTGAAAAGGGGGTTCTTTTATCCCACAATTGCAAAACATTTTTACTTTTAGATTATAAACTTGATTACAATGCTCAATCCAATGAATGTTTTCATTTCTGCATTCCTTCTAGTCACCTTTGTATACACACCTGCCTTTGCCACTTGTCCCCTTACAAACTATATCAAGTAAATTTTTAGAAAACAGGGTGGTCTAGGCACTTATTGTAAAATATTGAATGAAGACCTTCCTGTTAAATGACTCTTAAGTGAGAATACACTATATACATACCAAAGGGATGTTTCTCATCCCTTTCTCTCCTTTTTAAAATATATATTTTTTTTTTTTGCGCCTCTTGTTGATTCTTGGGTCGGAAAAATGCCATCTAGTACTTCAGAACTATCCAGACCCATAGTCTAAGGTTTTTGCATATACAGCTAATTTTGCCATCATCATTAGTTTAGAATACACTACCTATTGTTTTGCACTCATTCACCTTCTTATTCTGCAAATAATTATGAAATGCTTTCTGTCAGTTTTCAGGTTTTCACCCAGTTATTATGTGTAGAAATGAAAAATTCTGAATTCTCAACTGTGTGAGAATGAAAATGAAAAGCTATGAATCAGTGAAAGCTGGAAGCATACAACAGAGGGGTGATGTCCTCTTGAAAGATGATACAATACTTTGGCTAACATGATGAGAAAAACTCTTCTGCCATTTTTCTATTTTCTTATTCATCTTTAACATAATTGGGACTAACTGACGGCAGGTACAGGCCATACGGTTCTGGTCCCCGTAAGATGTGGAGGCGGGGGACAGGGCTCTGGCCCACTAAGCATCACGCCTTTGGTGCCTGCTGCTTCCAATCTCCTCAAGCACGGAGAAATGGTAGTCCAAAGAAAAGAATTATAATGAAAGAATTCTTACATTTGTTTCGAGATATAGGGAGAAATGTGATCACTAGGATGCCATAATTCTTAGATTTTTCAAAGGGATCAGTAGACCCATTTGATAATTACAAGATAGAATGAATTTTATTCTTTACTTTAAAAAAAATACTAAATTTCTCTTTGGATAAGTAGAACTGCTCAGAAATGGAAACACCAAAATTTTAGGGTCTAGTAGATTCTGATTATTCTGTCCTTTAGAATATCACTAAAGCTTCAGCTAACAGCTGTGACAGCCTTCTGGATTCAAAGTACTAGGTGCGTTAGGGCCTTGCAAGGCTCTAGGGCAGTGGGCCTAAAAGTCTGGTCCCCACATCAAAGCATCAGTATCAATTGGAAATTAGAAATGAAATCCTCACGCCCCCATCCCAGACATATCAAATCTAAAACTCTTGGGGTGCAGTCTAGCATTCAGTGTTTTAACAAGGCCTCTAGGTGGTTTTGATCGATGCAGACTTCAGAACCAGATTCTGGCTACAAAAGAAAGAGTTCTACGTTGAGAAAACAGAAAAGAAATATATTTTAATTTGAATATAGTGCATATGCTTACCATCCTAAGCAAGAATGAGACCTGTTTATAGTTGAAATTGACAGAGAAAAATTGGGGAGTTACTGGCAGGCCTTAACATTTTTTAATTTATGCCCCCAAAATTAATTGGCTATTTTCTTTTCCAGCTTGGATCTAGCAATTGGGAGGCAGCAGACTTAGGTAATGAAGAAAGAAAACAAAAGTTCTTGAGACTTATGGGTGCAGGAAAGGTAAGCATCAGACAGTATGCATTTTTTTTTTTTTTGTATGAAAATACCCTTTTTGTGTATTTTAAATGAGGACCGAATACACTTGGATACTATTTACCTGGTGGGCTTTGGGAAATATAGCCAACCTGATAGTACTTAAAATTTACACAATTTCTGGGCCAACTCTAGGATTCTTATTTGAGAGTATACAGAGAAAAAAATTGGTTTGAGGAGACCCATATAGAAGAGATCATGAAAAAAAAATTAAGAGTTATACAAATAAAGCATTTGCTAATCCATATTTCCCTATAATTTGAAAGCCACAAATTATATTTCTAATCATAGCAAATTATCATGAGTATTTCATTAGTCACATGTAGACCCACCTAAAAAGTATGAATAAATCAATACAAAATACTGTCATTATCCTAGAATAATTTAATGCCATCATACTTAACCATTGTTAAAATGGAGTGCCTTCTGCAATCTAAAGAAGCAGCATATTAAAGCATTAAAATCCTTATATGTTAAGAGTAGATTGGAACTGATAAATTGAGGGTAATTGTATCGCCTAATCAGTTCATGAGTGTGAATTAGATTTATTTTTATGTTTTAAAGTTGTTTTAAATTCTGTTCTTAACAGTTTAAAATTGGGTGGTCATTGTAGTCAAATAGAAACGGTAATGGTTTTTGTTTTTAATATTTCAAAGATAATATATATGGTATTTTGTTCATTATAAGTTATTTCATTTTTATCTAGTTAAATCTCATTTACTTTCTTTCCATGAGATATTCTCAGGAGGCATCAAAGAGAAAGTGGGAGAAGTTAAAGCAATTGATGCAATAGACCTGCTAGGGAAAGAATATACATTTTAATCTTGATTTTCTGGTTTTCCTTCCATCCCATTTATAAAGTCTCAGCCTGATTGCTACATCATTTCTACTGCCTCTGGTTTGTTTTAATGACACTTAATACCTTCTAGCACACTATATTTATTGTTTCCCCTCCCTATCCCTAGCCTTACTAGAATGTAAGTTCCATAAATACAGGGATCGTTTTTCTTCACTGCATCCTAAAAACCTAGAATAGTGTTGGACACATAGCAGACACTCAGTTATATTAAATTAGTGGTCTCAATCTGATGTATTTTCTGCCCTATAGAAAGAACACACTGGTCGTCTTGTTATAGGAGACCACAAATCAACATCTCACTTCCGAACAGGTAAGAAAGTAAAATACAAAAAAGTGGAAGTGCTAAATTTGGAATATGAAATATTTGTACTTAATTGGGGGTAGTCTAACTTCTATATGTAACTGTATTGTTGAAATATTATAATTGAAATGTGTGTAGAATATGCAACTATTTTACATATATCATATAAATAGTTTATACTTTGATTTTTTTTAAAGATTTTAGAGTATATATTAATGATATTCTAACCAAGAAACTGACCATAACTGTCTTCATTTTTACTGATTCACAATATATTTTAATTGTGAGAATTTTTGCCTCATTTTGGCAATTACAATATGTATAGAATTTTATAAATTAGCATGCTTTCATACAGTTGGCACAGTATACTGTTTTTTAGCTCACTGGGTCTGCTGAAAAGTAAAATCTTCTATTTAAAACAGACCTTTATCTTGGATGTTAGTAGTATAGTACAGACAGTATTTAATAAAATTCCTATATAAGTTAACTTTATACTGACCAAGAATATGTGGCATAAATGTTTTCCATCTTTTATAAACACTGTTGTAGATCAGAGGATTATTAAAGAAATTATCACAAATATATCTTTTAATTATTCTGTAATTATTAGGTAACCACCTATGGTATAAAACCCATCCACAAAATACATTGTAAAATTAGTCACAGAAAAATCAACCCTGAATATAATCGCATCTGTATTATGGGTTTTTTTGTGTAATCAAATGTTTTTATTAATTTGACTGAAACATAACCAAAGTACACTGGACATGCAGGGGAAGAAGACAAGAAAATTAATGAAGAACTGGAATCTCAATATCAGCAAAGTATGGACAGTAAATTATCAGGAAGATACCGACGACATTGTGGACTTGGCTTCAGTGAGGTAGTAATTAATATATTTTCATTAAATGGGAAGATAATCAGTTTCCAGTTTGGTGTAATTTTGGTTCTATTACTCTAGCAATCGGGACTTCTATGATATAGTTACTTAATATATTCTTAATATAGTTACTTAATATATTCTAGTATGCCCAACTAGGCCTTTGTAGATAATGAACAGAGTATTTGAGCATTTCATAAATTTTTTTTGATACCAGCTTAATGTAAATACTGCTTAACTATTAGAGTACATCTTTAGTAGACATGAACAATATACAAGTGTGGTATTTTATGTAAATACTGGTTTAGGGAGGTTTTCTCATTTGTTTCCTAAATCATTTCATATTATTACTCCAAAGTAATGTAATATGCCAATACATTGATAACTTTTCTACATTAACATGGGTCAGTGGTCAACTTGCTTTACCTACTTTTTAAAATATTTCTTTCAAGAAGATAAAAGATGATAGTTTTCAAACTAGGGGGAGAGGGAACAGGTGAGTGGTTTTCAAACAAAATCCTACTCAACTCTCAGTGTATAGGTGTGGTGTGGTGTGGTAACATGCATCTTTAAGGTACGATCCTATGCCTCTCAGTCATGTATTGTAAACCAATATTACCTCAATTGAAAATAAAACCACACATGGAAATGCCTGAATCCTTAGTTCTTCACTTGGTGACCTTTGATCACCATACAGTTGTAAACTTGATTTAATGACTAGGGAGTAGACTTTAATACTCTTATAAAAGTTAAGGTCTTTTCCAGTTTGTGCTAGGTGATAGTATTAATTTTAAGAAGAGCCTGTTGATTGGTATTTTAAGGTAGAAGATCATGATGGAGAAGGAGATGTGGCTGGAGATGATGATGATGATGATGATTCACCTGATCCTGAAAGTCCAGATGACTCTGAAAGTGATTCAGAGTCAGAGAAAGAAGAATCTGCTGAAGAACTCCAAGCTACTGAGCATCCTGATGAAGTAGAGGATCCCAAAAACAAAAAAGATGCAAAAAGCAATTATAAAATGATGTTTGTTAAATCCAGTGGTTCATAACTCCCAAACACTTAGTCTTTGTATTAAAAGTAAGCCTTATTGTTATAATGCACAGTGGAGGACTGCTTATAGAGCACAGACCTTTGTATTATAATTTTTAAAAAGGCCCTTTTAAATAATTACGAAGAGTGTTTGCTTTCAGATGCCATGGGTTACACTTTTATGGGCATGACTATAACCAATTTTGTAAAGAGTAAGAGTTGTATAAAATAAGAAATAAATACAGTACTCAATTTCCTTTCATATTAGTATCAAACCTCTAATCTCACCTTTTTACCCCTTCAAATACAGTTATGGGGGAGACATTTTTTGTTTGATAGCTGTTTCATCTTTTTTGTTCATTCATATTTTTCTCTTATAAAAAGTTTATCTGATACTGTGATGTGTTCATGAAAAATATTCATTTTATTTTGTTATAGAACTATCATCATGGATATTTCTGCTTCCTAGTAGCAGTCTAAATGTTGGCGAAAGATTAGGTACTTTACTCTTACTGATTCAGCTCTACTCTTTTGGACCAAAGCAGCAGGAGCAAATATTTTCACACCTGTTGGGATGAAGTTGCAATTGTCAAATATTTGGAATATTATGTTCCCAAGCAGTCTTTATATAATTTGAATTACATTGTATGTTAGATTTTTGATAAAATTTGGCCAATTTTTACAGAAGAAATTATTTCTCTGGTCATTTGGTCCTATCTATTTAGAACTATGTAAAACTGGATTTTTTTTTTAAAGGTATTATGTGACCAAAGTTAATTTTCTTTTTAAGGCCTAAATAAAGAAAAAGCAGTTTCTCATATTTGCTTGTGATACCTTTATCCTCATTCTATACAAATGAGGAACAGGCTTATTAAAATAAGAAGCTAAAACAATTTTTTCATTTTATCCCATTCTGTTTGCTATCTGATTACTAAAATATAGTCTTGCTTTCTGATTTTATTGCTGCTTCTGTTAGGGTGAGATTAGATCATCTCTCTGACTGCTGTTATGTTTTGGTTGATTTATACAGCACATTAACACAAGTTGCATTATAGTCTAGTCTATGATCTTCAAATACTTGGGTCCAAAATCTTAATGTTTCTAAGTAATGTGTTCAAAGGCTGGAAGTCAAACCTGTTTGTTTGTTGAACTATTATACATCTAGAGATAAGTATGTGTTTGATGTGTTGGATTTTTAAAAATTATTTGTGTCATTTTGAAATTTAGAATATGTTAGAGGACTGTAGCAGCTAGGTAATTTTTGGTTTATGCAATGCATCCTGAAATATTTTCATACCAGATGCCCAATTTTGTTTCTAGATTTAAAAAAAAAAAATCTAATGTTGTTCTATAATATCCTTACAGTAAAAAAAAAATTGAGTCAGTGCATAGTAGACACGATATATGACATTTAACAGAATCTTGGTTCAAACAAGTTTGGCCTGAACAAATTTCAGTTTGGCCAAAGATTTTTCAAATATTTAGTGTGCAGCGTTCTTACTACTAATTTAAGTAGAAAGTGAACACTGACTTATAAGAATGGAAGAGGAAAAAGATCAGTATTAATACGTATTTTCATCAGTTGTTCGAATATTTTGGGTTGTTCATGAATCTTGGTTTCTTACGTATAAACAGAAGAGATACCTTATAAAATGATTGCACTGGGTGACCTTTTTATTTCCAATAGAGAAATTCTCATTTAAATTCATACATTGGAAATTCACATAATTTAGGACTGGAATAAATTTAGATCTGACAGGTAGATTATAGACTTGTAAGAGGTCTAATGTCCCAGTGCCACATTAAACATTATGGCTGTCTTTTAAGCATAAACATAAGGGTGTTTTCTTTTACCAGATTGGGGAGATTAAAGGAAGAGAGATGCCGTGTCATCTTGATATCCCTACTATAGAAAGTACTATCTGGAAAAATTAAAAATTTTTGTGCACAGAAACACTTCAGTGGAAAGTTTAATGGTAACTTTTGGGTAAGAAATTGATAATTTCTTACTTGAAATACACTTATCCCAAGTGTTTACCTAGAACAATGATCTAATGTGTCTTTACTAAAAATATTTTCAGGGAGAGATTCGAATTTTGCTTGTATTGGTAGACAAAAGTCCTCTTAAATCTAACTTTTTTAAACCTGGGAGAATTTGTGGTACAAAGGGAAGTGTGAAGAGATTTGATTTTAGACAATAGTTTGAAAGCAGAAAGATAGGTCACACATTTTTTGAGTAAATTTTAAGGAAATTTCAACTACATGGTTGATCACTTCTTAAACAGTTTTAGTTACATCATCTCCATGGTAAACACATCTGGACACTGAATATCCAAAAACAAGTGTACCCCTGAAATCACTAGTTTGGAAATATCACCTGGCCAGAACAGCTCCATTCCTTTACACACATTGAAATAAGTTTTCAGTCTTTTCAATATCACTTTTGTCAGTATTCCAAATAAACCTCTCTCCAGTGCCAAACCTTCCTGGAATATGCCAAACCTGTACAAAATATTTCTGGAGATACCATCAAGCGCCGCATACATAGCTGTTACTAAAAGTGTTTTCTGATGACAACACTAAATTACCTTCATGCTTGATCTCAAGTTTTCCCATTCTTAACTGTTTAAAACCTCAGTTCTTAACGTGACATACTTTTCTACTTGACTTAACATGTCCTTGCCTTCTAGCTTATATAAGAGACACCTAAATCCACAACCAAGAAGTGTTCCACTGCTGTAACATCCCAGCTCCATCACCTTAATGATAAGCCAAGGGACCATGGGCATAACTAGATCTCTCTGGGCCTCTTTTCCTCGTCTATAAAGAGGATAGCAATGTCAACCACCTTGTATGGTTATTGTGAGCATTAGGTAGAATTTAGCACACTGATAGGTAATGTGTTCAATAAATGCTAGCAACTATTAATCCTTTGCATCTTCTTGTGAACCTAGTGCTTTTCTTTTGAGTCTTAAAGTTCTCAGTCTATTGACCCTTTTCTGTCAGCATTTGTCTCCTAAGCTCCCAAATACTTCTCCTCTTATAAAAACTTGTTCCTTGAGACCATATATTTTAACTATAATCCTGTCTCTACACCTACATCCACCTTTAATAACTTGTTTATGTTACTATTTACTAACTACCGTCTGCTCTTCAGTTCACTCCAATATGGTTTCCACATGATGTTGACACAACTATCTGGAAAACTTTCATCAGAATTGATTCTCATTATCCTGAAGGTTATTTTTCAACTTTATGACCTGTTAATTGTTCCTTTATGACCTGTTACTATTGCTTGGCGTCGTTAACCACTAGTCTTTGAATGAATACACAGTCCTTGGTACATGAAGGGGTTCAACAGTATTCCAACCCTGAACATCCATACATAGTTGTCTCTAAATTGAACTCCCTGAAAACTTTCTCCCATTAAAGGGAAGAAAGGTAATACTTTTAACTATTTCCTGAAGGACTGTTAGAATAAAAGATGGGTCTTGAAAATTGAGACATATTTAATGTAATAAACATGAAATTTAGTTTTGAGCTTGCAGACAGTCAAAGGAGAACATAGCTGTATCTAGTTAAACCGGGTGGGTGCAGTACTTGCTTTCATAAACTAAGTTCCAAATGAAACTTACCAGGTGGGCCTTTGTTGTCTGGAGTATTATCCTTAAATCAGTATTCTCAACCAAGGGAGATTTTGGCCCCCAGGTTCATTTGACAATGTCTCCAGGTATTTTTGTCATGACTTGGAGGCACTACTGGTATCCATTGGATGGAGGCTATGGATGTTGCTAAACATCCTGCAAGGCTTAGGATATCAGCCCAAAACATCAAACTCTAGAGAACATTTTTAATGGCTAAAATGCAGGAAGACTTTTTAAAGATGCAGAAAACCATAAACTACAAAGGGAAAGATTTATGAACTCAAATTACCTTAAAATTAGTAATACCTGTCAAAAGATGCCAAGAAAGAAATGGGAGATCACTGTAGTAGTACACATAGCCAAAAAGGCTGTCAGATACTCCTGCGCTCCACTGCACATCTTGGTTCCCATTTTACTGTTACTACTGCAGCATCTCAGCGACAGCTGTCATTTGATGCTCCAGTGCTGCTTAGCTGTCCCACTGTGGGATTCGTAAGAGTATCACATGTGTGGGATCTAGAGATGTGAGGAACTTAACACCAGATAGAGAAGGCTTGGTCAGCAGGGGTTCTGAGCTAGAGAATGAATGCTCTTTCTTACTTCAGGTGGATAATTTTGAGGTACATTTCACATGGCTCTTAAGGTCCCAGTGAGATTGAACCCAAGTTTCTCAAAACGGTGACCAACCTGTAGGGGCTCTTCTGTTTTTCCCTCCTTTCTTTGCACTTCCATTCATAGGATCATTTCCCAAATAAACTGCCAGCAAGCCCTTTCCTCAGGCCATGTTTTCAAGAAGTAATCCGGGCTAAAATAGATTTATATCCAGAATCTGTACAAATCAAGAAGATACACAACCCAATAGGGTAATGACAACAGACCTGGCAGGTACTTCACCAAAAAAGGAAACCCAAATGGCTAATGAACCTTTAGAAAGAATTCAGTATCATTAATGATTGAGGAGATGCTTATCAAACCTACTTCATACTTCCAAAATGGCTAAAATTAAAAGTTTTATTGAGTATATTATCTACTGCTGTTAACAAATTACCCCAAAATTCACCAGCTTGAAACAACACACATTTATCTCATAGGAACCTATACTTAGGTGGGTGCTTCAGGCAAGGGTACCTCACTAGGTTTTAATCATAGTGTTAGTCTGGGCTGTAATCATCTCAAGGCCTGCCTTGGGAGGCCCACTTCCAAGCTCATAAGGCAGTTCTCAGGTCCTCGCTGGCTACTGGTCAGAAATACCAGTTCCTTGCACTGCGGGGGCCTCTCCTGAGCTTAGCTCACAACTGGGGTTCCCTCACAGCAGGCAAGTGAGAAAGCCAGGGAATGTGCTCAAGAACTCAGTCTCTGTAATTTTGGAAATGATACCCTGTTCTGCCATATCCTAGACATTGGATGCAAATACCTCCATGCTGGGGGAGGGGCTACCCAGAGGAGGGAGTGACCAGGAGAGCATTCCCAGCAGCTCAGAGGCTGCCACCAGAGAGGATGGATAGCGCTTCCCATACAGACGGTGGTAGTGAAAATTAATAGTGCTGCTTTGGAAGACACTGGCATTTTCTACCCAAGTTGAAGGAATGCTGTTCCTTTAACCTAGTAACTCTACACCTCGGTACATAAAGAAAGAAAAGTGCATGTGCACCAGGAAACATGTATAGAAAGACTTACGGCAGCATTATTTGTAATTTGTGGCTTCAGATTAGAAATACCCAATGTCTTTCAACAGTAGAATGGATAAACTGATGTCAAATAGTCCCACTGAATACTATGCAATAACAAAGTGAGTGCATATGTTTAGTGAAAAAATTCAGACACCAAGGAATGCATTCTTGCCTATTCCATCCATACACACTGCAGAAAACTACCTATAGTTTTCAGCAATGCCTGTGTAGACAGTAAAACTATAAAGACAAAGCAAGTGAGTCATTCCTACAGAATCAGGAGGGTGGTTAGCCTTCACGGGAGAGGTGGGCTGCTAAGTAGGAAGGGGCATCAACAGGGCTCCTGGCACCCTGGCAAACTTAAATTTCTTATCTAAAGGACCACACAGGTTTGTTTCCTGAGCTGTATTCGTTACTTTGTGAACCTTCCATGTATGTTATATTTTGCCATAAAGAAATATTTGACAAAACTACACACAAATCCACATCCGATTATCAAGTCATGCACAAAGCAGGTATAGCCGAGGGGTCAGCCTGAGCTAAGTACCTGGTGTATATAAACCAGTATCCATTTTCCAGATCCTTTCATTGGGAAATCTGGGACGTATTCCTGTCTGGATGTCAGCACTGGAAGGAAA